TGGTCTCGATCTCCTGACCTCGTGATCCGCCCGTCTCGGCCTCCCAAAGTGCTGGGATTACAGGCTTGAGCCACCGCGCCCGGCCTTGTATTTTTAATAGAGACGGCGTTTCATCGTGTTAGCCAGGATGGTCTCGATTTCCTGACCTCGTGATCCACCTGCCTCAGCCTCCCAAAGTGCTGGGATTACAAGCATGAGCCACCACACCCGTCCCAGACCTTCTTTGAATTATTACAATGAGCACTGTCCACATATTTACTCTTGGCTTACCAAAATTGCCAATTTTAACGAACCTTTTCACCTCTATTGCCGTGAAAATGATGGGATTGCTTCAGGTATCCCAACAATTGCTGCAGGTATCTGAGAGGCAAAGGACAACCCTCTCAGATACATTCTATTGCGTATTTCTCTTGTTAGTTAGACCTTGTGGCACCAGGCATGCCTCCATGCGTGCCCCCTTGTCTGCATCTTGTAGCTGTAGCTGTGATGCAGGATGTTTTGGTGCTGCTTCACCAGCCAGAGGCCTCTGTGGCCAGTGATGTCCTTGCCCGGGCCTTGCTTGGCTCTGGGATCGCAGCTGGAGGTCCCTCACCCCCTCAGCCCAGCGGGCTTCACTTACCTTGCATTTGCCACAGGATCTGCACCCAGCCCATAGCTGGGTCGGGTGTGCAGTGACCTGCTTCTGCCTTAGGCACCAATGTCTGGATGACGGGAACATGGTGGCACCCAAAAAACTCAGAGGTGCTGTGACCCCAAAGTCCCAGAGGGGGTGTTGCAGCATGTGGCAGCTCTCCTCCCTCCCATCACATGTAGCATGGTGAGTGGTTGGGTGTGTTTCAGCCCATTTGTGTTACAGCTCATTCAGTCCCACTGCCCCACTCTGGCCTGCGACTCTGGGGCTGGGCTGGCTCCCTTGCTGCTTCCTGTTGCATGGGGCAGCTGCCTGGTGCCAGCAGAGGACAGAGGTCCACAATGTTACAGCCTTTTTTGTACCTCTGTTCAGTGGGTCCCCAGTTTTTGTCCTATGTCCAAGAAGAATGAGTTTATGCTGACAACTGAAGGGTGAACAGGGCAGAGTTTTATTGAGCAACAGCTCTCAGCAGAGAGGGGAACCCGAGTTGGGCAGCCCTCTACCTGAAGTCGGGTAGTCTCCCCAACCGGAAGGTGGGTAGTCCCAAAGTCTGTCTGAGCCTGGGGTTTTTCTGGGCTTACAGAGGCAGAACATGTGCTGATTGGTTTGTGAGTATGCAAAAAAGGCTAAAAATAAATAAATAAAAGGCACCACTCAAAGATGGACACAACAGTGCCGAAAAACTAATTAGAGAAGGGTAGGTATATGTAATCAGCAAAGGGTGGCATCAATCACAGGAAAGCTCACAAATGGGAAGAGGTTCTCAGTCCGGTCCGTGGATTTATCCAAGACTTGTAGCTTGGCCTTCAGGCTTTGAACTGTCTTCGGCTTGAAGGTTGGGTTTCACTGGGGACCCGCCCCTGTCTGCCTATGACTTGCCTGCCTCCTGCCTGCCTCCTGCCACTATCAGCTGCCTCCACAATTGACAGTCACACTCTTACATTAGGATGTCTCCTTCAGCTCTGTGTTCCCCATGCCATATCTGCTCTCTAACAAGCTCAAAAAACACGGCGCCTCTGTACTCCGTGAGAGCCTATGAAGAAGCCTATTAACAAATCCCTCTATCATCTCACATCTTTGTGACGCTTTCAATCCATCTACGACCCCCACCCCTGACAGTGGAATGCCCTACTCTAGTTCACATGGTTACCTTGCAGAGACAGAAATGATTTCAAAGCCAGGAGAGTTCTTAGACATCCCCATAGACAACCCAGACTTACTTCTTTTTTTTTTTTTTTT